GGGGGAAAATATATTGTGGAAGGGAGGGCAGGGGAATCTGTTGTGTAAGTGAATTCTCATTTGTGTGAGGGATGGATTCATTGCCCTGCTTGTGAAATGTTAAGAACCTTGTAGCAGGGTTTCATAGAGGAATGGAAGGGGGTGGATTTTGCTCTTGTGCTTGCAGTACTGCAGTCTGTCTGCTTGCTTCAGCACCTTCCCTGTTACCACTGTCTCAGTACGATGCTCAAGCACAGTTGCAGTGAGAGTTTGAGAAACAGATTCTTGGAACACAGCATTCTTCCATATCTAGCTGTGCCCAGCCTAAAGCAACATTTTGGGCTGAACACAGCCAAACACTCCAGTGACTCTTCCTTCATCCCAGTAACCAGCTTCAGAATGGGGAAGGGAACAGAGGCAATGTACCTTTGATACATTGTTTCTAAAACCAGTTGAGCACCACACCTCACTCAAGAACTCCCTTTAGAAGGAAAGTGGGAGATATAGGAAGTACACTCTTGTGTTCTTTCAAAGCCAATATGAATACCAGGTGTTCATTTGATCGTCTGTCTGTCTTTTTCTATCCCATTCTATTACAAAAAGTCTCAGAATGGTTGTACAATAAAAATAAAAAAGTTTATTAGATGTTTATCCAGCCTTTTTCTTTTTTAAAAAAACTCAAGATACATTCCTCTTCCTCTTCTCAATCCTATCCCCACAACAACAATCCTGTGAGGTAGGTCGGGCTGAGAGCCTGTGACTGGCCTAAAGTCACCCAGTTGGCTTCATTGCTGAACAGGGACTAGAACCCAAATTGCCCGAGTCCTGGACACACACTCTTAACCACTATGCTACACTGGCTCTGTATTGTCATGATCTATCTTGCTATTTAAGCAAGACATTTCATTATAGAATCCAGCATACTTAAATCAAAGAAGCTTACAATGAGCCAGGCAGTTCATTGTACCTCATCCAACACTTGATAATAGGCAAAAGGCTGTGAAGCCATTGTACCAGATCCTAGTATCTTAGCACTGGTAAGATAACTTGGGATAACTCCATGCATGGTGCTTGGGAAACTATAGTGCCATATATTTAGCAATAATCTTTTTCCCTTGTAGAGAACTGGATAAAATTGATCCACTGTATTTGTTTGCTGCATCAGGGAACAGTTTCATTTCAAAAAGCATGCTTTGACTGCAACTAAGTACTACATCCATTACAGTTATTTCCACTTTCCAAAATTATTTATTAGTGCTTCTACCAGAAGAAGTGGTTTGAAGGTATTACAGGTAGTGCGACAGCATTAGACTGGTAAAAATTCTTCCTTCTGCTGTAATATATTTATGGAATATATTTAAATATAAAATTTAGCAATAAATCTCGGATAGTGCACTTAAGTTTATTTAAATGCATGTTTGTTTATTGCCCTTTTATACTGCCCCATAGCCCATAGACTCTGTGGGCAGTTTACAAATTTAGGAGACATAACCAGTAAATAAACAATGAAACTAATATAATGAGATCAACAGCCCACATCAACTATAATAAAGTTGATACGTGGCATAATACCAATAGTAATAAAAATATTAAATATTATGTATTAAAATATCTAGAAAATATGAACAGCTGCATTCTTGTGAGAGCTTTCATGTGATGAATACATGTTATATTTTTCTTTATAGAGGAGGTCTCAGCAACATGTTGTTCCAGTGCTCTTTACCAGATACTGTAGAGACTGTGGCAGATGAACCACGTACTGTCCTCCTTCGTTTATATGGTGCAATTCTGCAAGTGGTGAGTACTGTGTGGGGAGTGGGCAGATATTGAAAAACCTTACTTTGAAATAGATTTGAAAATACTAAATTGTGTTCTTGCTGTACATGCATATGCTTGAGAGAAGTCTTCAGTCTAGACCTGTTTAATGCCTATTGTTTAGAAATTGTACTGCTTTCTGTATAGCTCTCAAATGGATTTTTTTTTTTTTAAATAGTGTGATGTGCTGCTGGTTTTGTTGGTAACACATGCGAGAGTCTTAATATTCACAAATGTTGTTGCCTGTTAGCCTATCTGCATTTTGCAGACTTGAGTTGAGATGCAGAACTGGGAGTAAATCTGTTAACTATCTAATACTAAATTGGATAATTTATCTTGAGCATACAACAATTCACAAATCTTTGCAAAACTGCTCTTCAGGGCCTTTACTGCTGCTAATTTAGCACAGCATTTCGTATAAAGACCCTTTCTCGTGTCATTTGCAGGTGTGTTAATATGGAACAATGCAAATGAAAATACAAAATGGGGGCATATTTCATTTACTGTGAGTACAGTGCCCGTGCAGAGAGGATTTCTTTAGACTCAGTAGAGCTCCTTTAGCCCCTACAGTTATTTATATATCAGCAGTTTTACCCTTAATGAACACCTAAAAGGAAATGTAAATAAAATAGAACTTTACATGCCACAATCAAGTCATAATTCCAGACAGATTACACATAAATACGTGTAAAAATATGGACCCAGAATTGTGATAACCTCAGCAGCAACTAAAAGTAACAGTGTAATCATATACTTGTCTACTTGGAAGGGAGCTCCATTAACCTCAGTGGAGCTTACTCCAAGGCAAGTGGGTATAGGAGTTCCCCTCTGATGTTAGCAAGAGTAAAAAACAGTGAGTGCCAGAGAATTTTACAAGCAGGATATCACTATCCTGTGAGGCCTTCTCTCTAACTAACCTCAGCCTTTTCTCAGATGGTGAGGGTAGCTAGGAAAGAGAGCCTTTGAATATTAGCTCGTGTCTGGGAAAGCTGCTGTGGGGCAGTGTTCCTTCAGGTACCCAAGTCTCAAGCTTCACAAGACTTTAAAGCAAGAGTGGGCAAGCTCCATCTGCCCTAGCCAGAGTAGCCCTTGGTGAAGTATGAGAGGAGTTGCAAGTCCTACAAGTTGCAAAAGAGGGCCCCAAGTTATGCACCCATGCTTTCAAGGTAAGCATCAGCACTTCGAATACTTGGAAATGTATTGGAAGCCAGTGGACTTGAGTAAGTGTAGGCAAGTCATTCTCATCTATAGCTCCCAGTTAATAGCCAAGCAGCTGTATTTTCACCCATGCAGTGCATTACAGTTGTCATTCTTGGAGGTTAGCATCAATTGGAGGATAACATCAATAACTCTGGCCAGAGGGCTATCTGCAGTTAATAAAAATTGCTTCCTGTCCCAAAGTAGTAAAAATTAATTTTGGCGCTTCTCTGAAATGTGATGCTGGGTCCATGTTCTGCTGATCCTGTAGGAATCTTCTGCACACAGGCACTTCACCTGCAGTGGACTGAATCATGCCACACTTTTATTTAATATCAATCCTTAGTCACATAATGTACATGATAAGGTAGTCGTCTTTTGCTCATTTACTTTACAGTAAAGATCACTGAACACAGTAGGCCTTGTCTCTGAATAAACATGCATTGAAACATTGACTATGTAAGTAAACTCTTTGGCGAGCAGGAAATGGTCTTAAGTCCATTATAGTTCTATAAAATTGGGTTTGGATGCTAGTTGGCTTGTGTTAAAATTATTTGCTGCCCATACAGACAGGCCCACAATTTGGAATTTCCAGTTCAACTGATAGACAACCCAGAAGATTGTCATTATTCCTGTGTATTATGAACAATACTTTTTATTCAGTTAATTGCTTAGCTAGTTGCTAACTAGTCTAGTTGCTAGACTCCACTGAGTTGCATGTTTGCAGCTGAACCTAGAGTATTGAACAGAATGGTAACTCTGCAGTCCATCACCTTTATGCATTAATACAGTTAATGGTAGCAGTGACTGTAATGCTCATGATTGTGCTGGAAAGCATTGGACTCAGTCCTGTAAGATATAGGAAAACTGTCACAGATATTCTTTTCTCCTTGGTCTGCTAACTTTACAAGGGCGAGAACATCAGTACGGTTTTAATTCTGAACAGCACTTATTTGGAGGGTAAGGGAGAGGGAAAATAAATTCAAATATCCAAATACTCAAAGAAGTGAAGAAGAGTCTCCCTCCTATGGAGATCCCTCTTTGTAAACATTTGACTAGGCCTCCAAGGGATCTCTTACTGATTGTACTCAATTTCATATAGTTTGTCTACTCTCCATTTCTATCTGTAAAAATAAAAATATGCCTTCATATAACTATTTGAGAAAGTGAGAATTATTAGAATATTTGATTTGTGGTGGTATGTAGAAATCTTAGATTCTGTGTTGCAGTATATAAAACTTGTATTTGGAAAATCCCAAGCAATTTACTGCTAAAATAGAACTTTCTCTTGTTTAATTTAACAACATATTATTGTGAAACAGTGGCCCAAAGCATTGGTGCTAAGGCTACCTAACTAAAACTTAATCACAATAATGAGCAGTACAACAAATCATCTAAGTCACACAATTAGTTTATTGAATCTTATAGATGTGAGCAGATTACATATAAAAAATTTAAGATTGGCAATGCTACAGATTAGTGTGCTGCAATTTAATTTGGAACAACAGAGTAGTGTTTTCAGGATCTCAGTACTAATTCCTATGGAATTTCCAGCACAACTGTTATAATCATATTCTGAATATCCAGGCTTGGAAAATCATAAATTGGAGCTTGGGCACATTTTGTTTTCCCTCAGTATCCATCTTTTTTAACTTCCGTGTCCTTTCATAAAGGAAATAACACAGGAGCTCTCTTGTCCATCCTCCATCCTCCCAGAGCTTCAATCCCTAGTTTGGCCAGTCATTTGAGTGTTAACATCCTAACCTTTTTTTTCTTGGTATTTAAGATTTTTTGAGATATCTAACTTCCTTTATTTCCCTAGTGGCAGTGAAATGACTGCTCTTGTTGGTGCAGTTCACTAAGGGTTAAGTAAGCAGAGGCAGTCCCAAGGTAAAACTTTCAGATTATATTGAGGGTCTCAGTATAAACATTTGTCTCTTCCAGATCAGTCTTTAATGCATAAGCAAACTGATTTTGCTGTAGTTGAAAATCTTTTGAGATCTCAAAAAACTTCTCCTTTGTGGTCTTGGGTACGCATAGGAATACATTTAAAGAAAAATATTTTGTGCTTATGCAAATTTTAGAAGTCTCAGGGAAGCTGCTTTTAATTACAGGTGCACATACCATAGTTTTTTTGTATGGCATGATTGATCCTTAATTGCAGTTAGCATGGTTTCAGGCTGCTAAAGCAGGGAGTGGCACCTTCCATTTGGTTTAAACAGATGATCTTCAGTTAAAAGTTAAATTCCTAAAGACAGCAGTACCTTCTGTAAGAGTTACATACAGACACTACTGCTGACATCATGAAATTCAGGTACAAACTTAAGAATAAACTTTCATCTTGCTTCCTTTGCTCAACATTTCAAAAATTTAATTTAGCAGTCCTGTATTTTTCAGCAAAGCTGTCTTTAAAACACCCCAACACATACAAGACTTATTTACATGCTAAACATGAGTCCAGTTTGCTTGTCATAAATTCTGGAAGACACAAATGTACTACTGTTCAATGTAAACTGTTTTAAGTTGGCTAAAGCTTCCATGAAGAAAAGGCATGGGGCCTTGCTCAGTCATAACACCTGTAATTTTAAGCCACTGTTTGTGCATGTATGGAAGTGTGCTTGAGTTGGGTTGATCTATGTGAAAAAACATGTCAGTCTGATTGACATTGCTATAAAGAACCTCTGACCACATACTTGAGCTACCTGTTTAAGAAGGCTTATGTTTGTGCTTGAAGAATTTGAGGTTCTAACTTAGATAAATTACACTTGAAAGACAAATGTTACTTCACTCCAAAACTTAAAGTACTTGTCTTCATAAAACCAGTTCAGCTTTCTTGTGCATAGAATTGATGCTGCCCATTAAGGAATTTGTTTTTAGAAACTGTTTTCTTGTAATGAAGAAACACATGTTGTTTGATTTCTAAGTCTCAAAGTCAATTATTCATCATAGCAAATTGAATCGGGAGTTAAAATACATTAGCTTTTTTTTTTTTTTTTACTTTATACGTATTCAGACTAAAATTTGCAGGATTGTTGAATGGAAGTAGTGCTTAAATGTAGCAGAGGTCCTGTGTTACCAAAATAAAGGGGGATCTGGGGATAGTAGCTCATGCCCTGTTTCTGATGTCCACGTATAAAATTTTGTTCTGCTGTTACAGCCAGATCATCATATTGCATAAAACAATTTATGCTTTTAAGATTACTTAATGTTCCTATAGCCTCATTTCATTTCAATTATACAGAGAACAAGATTAGGAGTATTGACTGTAGTTCTCTGGTATTGCATATTTGCTTTGCTTTTTTTACTGCTTGTAACTAAACAAATACATCGAATCCTGTAATTGTAATACTCCATCAGTGATGTGATTCCTGCTTTAATGTCTTTTAGTAAGGAATAACTGTGAATGCCTTTTTATTGGCAGATAGTTTGACAGCTGAACTCCTATTAAGAGGGGGTATTTGTTTTGTTGGGTGGCATTAAGGGTCTTCTGAGGGTAAATGTACCATTTTAGTTGTATGTGCATGTGTTCTCTGCTGCAGGCTTATCCATGCGATCGTGCCTAGAGCACTCTGGTTTCCAGGTGACAGACACGATTCACGGTATAGTATGAGATCTCTGAAGTTGGAGCATTCTCTACGGGTTTCATTTCTTTATGCCTCAGAGTGTGAAGTTACAATGAAAAAACTTTCCTTATGAACATTTTTATAATATCTATACAATTAAGTGAGAGCTATGAATGCCACAATAATGCATTAAACACTCCTTCTGCTCCTCTTAAAGAATGGTAACTTGATCAGAAGTAAAAAGGATTAGGGATGTTCTTGGGTTTTGTTTCAGTATGGGACCTGACATAATGTATTTTATTGTCTCCTTTTTGATTTGATATTCATCATACACAGTGTTTAGTAGGATAGAGATTTTTTTAATGAAAAAGTCAACACCACCTGCTTCTCAATTTCTCAGTCATTAGAATTTAGAATTGGGCACAAAGCTTCCTGAAGCAATGTTTAAACTTTCTGCAGAGGATATGCAAGTTTATGTATGTCCTGTGGAGCTCTTCAGGAGCTATATGAAATAAATATGCCAAACTCCTTTTTCTCAAAAGGGTTAGCTGTCTGCCAATTAGTTACTGAAGTCTGCTTAGATCTTAATATAATACTGTATTGGAATTAGAATACTTGGAGGCTTAGATTTTCATTTGTACTGATTTACTGATTGAACTGAAATGTTTGCTACATGAAAACCCAGTGCAAATACAACCAGCTCATACTATGGGTGTAATCTACTAATTTGATTTATACGGGTTTTTAAATTACATTCCTGCCTCATGTCTGCTCTTTAAATAGAAAAGTAAAATATAATAGCTATCCCTAAAGGGGGGGTTAATGGGGGAATGAATATTATTAGTTCATTTTGACTGTTAATTACTGTTGCACCTGTTTCATTTTTTTTAAAGACATTTTATCCTAGAACAGCAAATATGGTATTCTCCTGCATCTAAATTTTATGCACAAGATTTCCTGCTTAGCTACTTGTTTTATTATATACAACCATAAAATACACAGACACTCTATACATAGTTCCTTTTTCTCTGGCTTCATCAGATGCCTATGGCCTACTATGAGAAATGAGAGACAGTCGTGGTACCAACTGCACCCATCTAGAGTCTAATGATCTACATGGAATTTGTTAAACAGTTCTTGACAGCAAGCAGGGAGGAGTCTTGACTGTGTGGTTCCACAAAGATGTATTCAGTGAGGCCCACTGGTTTTTGGCCTATGCTACAGATTATGAAAAATCATTACAATTGATTTTTCCTGCAGCATGGTTTCCTGTTAGCCTGTATTCCTGCTAGGAGCTGTGCAGTGCCTTTTCTGTAATCTCTTGGAGACTGGCCACTTTCTACACAATGAGAAGGCAGTGAGTTGCTATTTAAGCTGGTATCTGGAATGTGAATGTATTGGTCTGGTGGCTTTTACTTCAGACATTCTTGAAGCATATCATAAGCAAAATACTCCCAGACCATCAGTGCAGTCTTGATGTATTGTCTGCCTCTACTTGGTGAATAATGGTTGGCACTGCTTACTGTTTTTCAGTGTAAATTCTGCTCCTGAAGTTTAAATATATATATATATGTCCTAAATGCAGTTATTTAGAAGTGAGTCCCAGTGGTTTAAAATCCTTATTTGCTCCTAGAGGGTTGATTGATACTGAAAGAGCAGAAGGATCCAAGTAGAATTCTCTTTTTATGATAATCTTTGTATATTATATTCCTCCCTTTTTCTTTTTCTTCAAACTCAGTTGGAACAATCACATTTCTTAGGGACTGTTTGAAGATTGTTAGCGCTAAGATACTTGGCAGTCTTTTTGCACTTGTGTTATTCAAGTAAGTTAAAGTTATCTTTTATGGTCCTGGGAAAAAACCTCTCTAATCCAGTTTGCTTCTGGTGGATTGTACCATCACAGGGGAGCATTAAGCAGAAAAAACCGCCTGGGTGATGTGAAACTTTGATTGCTGTTCAAGAAGTAGTCAGAGAAAACAGTGCTAGTAATATAACAATGTGTAGCATTGCTTTTTAATACACAATCATAAGTTTGCTCTTGTGAATATTCAAGATAATCTATGCTTCCACTGAAAAAATGTAGTTTTACAGTAGCATTCGCATATTGTAATTAATATTTCAATGGACATAATTATTATACTGTGGAAAATGCTTTATTTCAAGTTGAAGTAAGCAAACTGAGAAATTCTGTAGCTTGGGTGGTACTTTAAAAATTGCTGTTGGTTATTTGTTCAGTTGGTACTTGGTAAAGGCATGTTAGACCAGAAAATCATGCTCTTTTCCATTTATCTTTGTTAAATATTTCAGTGAAAGGCTTCTTTTAGAGGCCTCTAAATGTAGTTTGGTTTTAAGCAGTGTTGTTGCAGCATTAATAGCTACAGTAACTTGCTACTGAATGGAGCTGGGAAATGGAGCAGGCTTATTTGTTTCATAGCTTTGAAAACCTTCATGGACTGCAAAGCTTACATTTCTACTGCAGTTATGGTAAAAGCATGTGCCATTGAGTCTAGGCATTAAAGTATAACTTGGAACCTTAGAAGAAGCTTTGATAACATGCATACTGCAGTCTGCTAAGTCTGAAACTGATTAATGCTTTGCTTTTCTGAAAGTGGCATAAGATTATCTTTAAAATGTCTTAAACTATTGTTGTTACTTTACAGTAGAAAAGAGATCTGTCAACAAATTGTTACTGGGATAAGTGAGTGCCTGTAAAACTAGATAAATTATTATGTTAAGCTTGTTTTTATATTGTTTCAACTGTTCTGCCTTGCTAGATTTATAATTTTTTGTCTCAAAGCTGGTTTATAGTCAAATCTATTTTCTGTCTCCCAAATCTGGATGTTTCTGTGTACTAGGAATATTTGGTTCCTAGCTTCTATAGTCATACAGATGACTACCACATATTCTAGTGGTCTTCTCTGTTCTATCACTGTAAGCAAGCTGATACTAGAATTCAATGGCACATCCTTTTTGAAAACATATGGAGTGATGTCTCTTGGAGTGAGAGAAGTTGTGTTAAGATGGTTGATGGTCTGTCAGTTCAGTATCAAATAAATAGTTTTAAATAGTTTATAGCTGGCTTTCCTAACTCTCCTTATTGTGGTGGCTGCAAGTTACTAATCATGTTGGGCTTCAGAATCTCATTGTAAATGTTGATTTTTCTCATTCATAGAGGTCCTGTAATAAAGGAGGATCTGGACAGGCTCAAAAGGAAAATGATCTACAAGTAAGTGTTACCTTTTAGTTCTCATACTGAGTTTAATTACAGTACACAGAATATTTGTTCATTGACAGTGTACCCATTTCCACCATCTTCCCCAAACATTCTCTCTCGGAACGTGAACTGGTAAATAAGCCTAAATTTGTGACTGCTGTTACATCCTATCATTGTTAGCAATGTGTGTCTGGAGTTAAAGCGAAGTAGAACTGGAGGGGGCCTATAAGGCCATTGAGTCCAACCCCTGCTCTGCTTCCCCATGTGATCACCCCCCCTCCAGCTGCAGTCCCTCACCTTTTCAGCTTAGCAAAGGTGACTTGGCATGTTATGCAGGCAAGCCTAGTTTAATCTAGGTTTGTTTCCTGTGTTTACCTGTCATGTGGACTATTGATGAGTAGCTCTTTTTAGATTAGAGGATGCTGAGCAAGGACAGACATACCACCTAATGTCTGTGAAAGGAAGGGAAGTACCATTGTCCAGAACAGATTATAATGCATTGGGTTTATTGCAAATGTAGTTACACATGGAGTAGATCCATTGCAATCAGTGAGACTTATAAGTTAATCATGACTAACTTGTTTCACGTTTATTTCATTGGGTTTACTCTAGAAAAATCCATTGGTATGTTGGAATGGTTTGAAGGTTACAACATGTGCTGTTATACTCTCTTCTGTGCAGCTTTAGAATATTTTTCTATTCTATCTCGTGTTATAACCCTATTATAGGATTGTGAATGTCAATTGAAAAGCGCATAGTAGCAGGCTGCAGCATTTCTCTGTAAATCAGTCCATTTGAGATTAAAGGCTGCAGCTTGCTACCTCATCCAGGAAGAAGAGCCTCAACCTGCCATATTGCTGCTATGCCAGCGAGTCTACTTATGGGACGAGGGCATTAAGGAATTTAAACAACTGCTTACATTTGGAATCCTGTATCTGACTGAGTTTGTATTACTTATAGATGCCCAATTAAAACTAATGGAATAACCTTGAAACTCTCAATTGGAATTGGGGCGATAACTTTCAAGTTAAAGATTAACACCATTTATCTCAGACTGCCTAAAGCTTGTTTTTACATTCCTTTCAAGAGGCCTTTGAGTAAATCATTAGTAATTATAAAAGCCTTGAATTCTAAAGGTGCAATTAATCGTTCATAAGGTAAAGACAAGCCTGAATTTAAATTAGTATATTATATCTACTGAAGTATTTCTAAACTAATCGCTGTTAGATTAGTCCATCTGGTCATTGGCCATGCTGGCTGAGCTGATGGGAGTTATATTCAAAATGTCTGCAGGGCATCAAGTCAGGGAAGACTGGCATAGTTTTACCAAGAAGGTGTTACTTTTAACTCTCATATAAGGGTAACCTGATTTCTAAACTTGTACTTTTAAATGGCTGTCCCTTCTCATTCATTCTAAGAAAAGCAGCTTGTATTATAAATTGATTAGGAGGAAGGGAGTCAAAAATTTTAATATGAAGATTGGGTAGCCTAAACATGAAGTCATGTGATCTATTTCTAAAACTCGGGTTGTAAATATCAATGAACTCTGGAGGATACATTCCTGTGAAATTTAGCATCTGAGAAATCTGTAACAGATAGAAATGAATTTGGATTTCTATGAATCTGTCCTATTTTTGGCTTAAAGTGTTTTACTTTTGCAGAGGATGTATATAAAAGTATAAGTTTGCCCTTGCACTTTAGCACAAGTGCATACTTACAAAAAGTGTGCATTAGTAGACATTTGCAAATAGAAACAAAATTTGCAGACATTCCATAAAACCTGATTCAGTCACTGAGTGTATGAGTACATTTAACAACAAAATCTCTACATCCTTACTTAAGCACATTAATTGCAAAAGAGCTTGGTCAGGTATGAGATTGAGCAAGACTTCAAGGACACTGTGCTATACAGTATATTGGTAGTTAATTAGCATAAGATCCTGCAGCTGAATCTAATTTCATGGTTGTACATACATTCATCTTACTTGTATCCCAAAATGATTATTTTGTTTTTTGTGACATGCATTAGAGACTATATATGTACCAGCTTCAGATTTCTTGTTCTCTTTAGGGTGCAGAAGCTGTGGTTCTGGAGAGTGTTATGTTTGCCATTCTTGCTGAGAGAGCTCTTGGGCCAAAGCTCTATGGAATCTTTCCACAAGGACGGCTGGAGGAATTCATTCCTGTGAGTACTATTTGTTAGTGTCATAGCAGTTGTAACCAAGATTGAGTTTGCCATCTCCAGATTGCTTCCAAAGACAGGTGAAGCATTAGTTTTCTATGATTTGATGTTACACTATAGTTCTGATAGTACATATATTGAGAATGGAATCAATGATCTCATGTTTTCTGAATTTAATTTTTATCGGACCCAAGTTAATGCTACAAACTATGCTGTAGTTTAACCAATAACAAAGGAGCTAGCCTTTAAGATGGTTAACTACAGTTCTGAAACAAAATTCAGGAATGTACTCCATTCACTTAGTAGGTTCCTAGTATTTACTTATTTCTACAGAGTAGTTGTTTCAGTACTGAATTTGGTTACTTGTAAATTCCAGGAAATGTATTCCTTATAATAAATTCCTACTATGTTTCATTTTTCAGAGCAGGAAGTTGGACACTGAGGAACTAGCTTTGCCTGATATATCAGCAGAAATAGCTGAGAAAATGGCTAGATTTCATGGAATGAAAATGCCATTTAATAAAGAACCAAAGTGGCTTTTTGGAACCATGGAAAAGTAAGCAACTGTTACGTATTCATTTAACATTACAACTTAGATATTTTAAGCAGAATTAACTTTTTAAGCTTAGAGGAAGGATTTTTGTTATGTGCTGTTAAGTCTTCTCTGACCTATGGCAACCCTATTAATGAATGCTCTCCAAAAAGCCCTGAGCTTTCACAACCCTGCTCGGGTCTTAAAAACTTAAGGCTTTGGCTTCCTTTATGGAATTGAGTCATCTCATAATTGGCTTTCCTCTTCTTCCTTTTTTGCCTTTGACTTTTCCTAGCTTGTTTATCTTCTCCAGTGAGTCTTGCCTTCTCATGATGTACCCAAAGTTCAACATTCTCAGTTTTCTCATTTTGGCTTCCAAGAAAGGATCTTATAGGAAGCTTATTCATTTTATTAAAATGGGAGAGGCATCCTTCCTTAGACTAATTTGTTGTGTCAATGAAGACCTTAAAATGTTTGTCCAGCTGTATTTTTGCCTTTAAAATACTTTGATGGCTATGAGGAGAGGTGTATGTGTGGGCACAGGAATACTAACTGCACAACAAATCTTTATGCAGGTACTTAAACCAAGTGATGAGAATCAAGTTTACCAGGGAATCACGTGTTAGAAAACTGAACAAAATCCTCAGTTACAACCTGCCACAAGAAATGAAAAGTCTACGGTAGTGTTTTAGTTTTTTACATTTATTTTACAGGTCTTATGTGATGACTGTAAATGTTTTCAAACAGAACTCTACCTGAAGGAATTCTCTAAGCACTTCCTTGACCTGTATTTTAAATTGCAAGCCTCCTGTTTAGATGGATGGCAAAGGCAATAATTGTACTGAAATGATTCAGAGAACTGTTTTGAATTGCTTAGTTTGGAAATCAGTTTTGCAGTAGGTGAGGTTTCAGGGGAGTCCATGTCACTTGATAAGGTCAAGCATTCAGAAAGCTTGGTAAAATCAAGCCACTTTTGCAAGGCTCTTGATGTGTATAGTCCATTGCATGTTGGCTCCATAGGGACAGTTTAACCATACTGTAATAGTTGCAAAAGTTTCAACCCATTTTTGTTGCAAAAGACAAAAGTTGGTTATGTTAGAACTGAAAGTTCTCTCTTCCTCAGAATAGTATGAGTATCTGTATTCTAATTCAACTTTGCTACTAGTGTTTGGACAATTTTTCTTCCCCCATGTGTTTAAACAAGAAACTGACCAAAGTTGAAAGACAGGGCCTCCAGATGGACCATCACTGCTGTACAAACTGTTCCTTGAGTTGAAAGCAGCTAGCACTTAGGTGAAGTACTTTGCCCCATACTTGGTCTTTTCCTTGAACTACATATATAGTAGATCTACAGTCTAAAACTGAGAAGATTTGTTGCAGTTACCAATCTGCTTCTTCTGTGACTTAATGCAGTGAAGCCACCTGGCAGAGTTACCTGCCTGAGAGAAATGAAGGCATGAAAAAAATCTTCTTTGCCCTGCCTTTTCAACACACTGTTTTATTACTGGTGTCCTCTCGACTAAACAAAAATTGTTTATAAAACTGCCATTTAGTTCTACTCCTAACTTTTCTTTTCCAGGTCTTTACTTGAATCGACTTCGTCTCCAGTTGTGTTTTGCCATAATGACTGCCAAGAAGGTATCATATGACTCTGTGTTTTGCATTTTGCAACTGTAATAGTGTTCTTAAACCTTACAAGAAAAGAATGAAATGTAATCTGTTACAGAGTAAATCACTAGCTTGACGTAAGCACTATCTCATTGTATCCAGTTAAAAATATAGGCCATAGTTCTTACTGGGCCTCCTGAAGGAAGAGGAAATGAAAGCTACTGGCATGAATTCTAAGGCTGCAGTGTGTGAGGAGCTTACAGAGTCAGCACAGAAAACCATACCATTCATGTTGTTTGAATAAGAGGAAGACTAATTTGGGCTGTCTCCAAACCATCCTTTTTCTTCTTTTAGTGCCATTAACTAGTGAAGGTTTGCTCATGTTAAACCATGAGGTCAAATAATATCATATGCCCTGGAATGCTTCTTTATCATTGTCAGTTCCCAACATTCCTTCATACTTAATAAACAGTCCATAATATATAGGAACAGGGGAAGTGAGGATGCTGGGATTGTTGATTGGTGCCACTGAGGGCAAGGAGTTCAACTTTTTCTCCACCTTGGTAACAGCCATGAAGTGGCACAGTTGCTATTGCCATTTTGCCATCTTACAGGCAAAATCTTCTGGGTGGCCAGTTTTCACAGAAGGGAATCCTATTGGTTGCATGGACCAGTAGTAGAACCCATTGTCCTGGGAAACATTTTGCTGTAAATGGAATGTTTTGCATGCCTGGAAAAGTAAGATCTTCACCTAGTGCTAAAATGAACACAGTGTAGGCACTGCTCATGTTAGTAGCACCCACCTCACTTCCATTGGAAGGAAGGACTGCTGAAGGCTTACCTGTGGCTCCTGGCAGGTATATATAGGAGGAAATTACCTTTTAAGTAAACGCCCAAGTTGTTTAGGACTTGGATGTTAATACCAGTGCTTCACATTGGGCCTGGACATGAATGACCATTGGAGAAGTTAGTATTGGTATAATGATTATATTGGCCAGTCCACATTAACAATCTTACTCTCTTATTTTGGACTGACTGAAATGTTAAGACAGTTTTCAAAGATAGTCTCATGTATGACATGGTGCAGGAATCCATATGAGAGGGTACTGGTAGCAGGGCTATATCTCTGTCCAGATTAAGACATGACTGGTATATCAGTCTAAGCTGATAAAAGGAGCTCTGCGCCAACAAGTCCACCTTATGTTAATGCTGGATGTGAGAGCAGCCCCAAGCTATGAATGTGACCCTTTAGGGAGAGTGCAACTCGCTTAGAAACAGTTAAACATCACTTAGCTGTGTAGATGAACCACTTAGCGTAACTACTACATGTTTGGATTGCATCTCAGTTTATTGGACCTCATCCAAACCATTGCAGTGCCCAAGAATTGATTGAAAACAGTTACTACCTCATCTGGCATCTCCTTCTAGATCAGGTTGAACATCACTTGGTTAGGTAGATGGATTTGCTGACATTCAGTAGTAAAGATGTGTGTTGATCCTATGTAATCTACAAAATTGTTTCCAGTTAATTCACAATCCCTTAAAGTGGTTAGTACTATGTACCTCTTCTCTCCATGCCTCCAGGAAATATTTTGCTTCTTGAAGGCAGAGAAGATTCTGAGAAGCAAAAATTGATGCTTATTGACTTTGAATACAGCAGCTACAATTACAGGTAAATGCCAGGCCTTTTTACTGACTTAAAAGTAAAGAAAAGCAAGCTTAGCAAACATTTAATTAGTTCATTTGAACAATATTTTGCCTCATAGATGTATTTTTTCTGCTGTTTTCCTGAGTCTAATAAACTAGAGGATCTGCTCTTTATATCTGCATCTAATGTTTGAAGATAGACTACTATGCTAAATTTTGGTAAAATGAATAAAGTTTGAAGTTGTAACCTGCTCATTTGAATTTGAAATGAATGTATGTTAGAAAATACTAACAAACTACCTGCACAAACTGGCCACCTTTTCATGTTCCATTGGTAAAATATGTGGGGAGAAGTCTAGCAATAGCATCTTTATTGCTTTTCAGCACTACCTGTCTGATAAATGGTGGATTTTATGCAGTAGAAATCTGTCTTTAACAATTTTATCCAGTTAACTACTGTATCTCAGAATAGGAGTCTATAGTCTTGATGCTGGCCATGTGTGACAGATTCACTGTAGTAGCAGCAAATCTTGTGTCAGTTACTAATTGTTACAGCATAAAAGCATCACACATGGGTGCAGATGTGCTGGATAGCTCCCTGCTTGTCAATCATACAGCTGAAAAGTTTTCACATAAAGGAAAATTGGCAGAACTCTGTACAGGACTCCTGATAGTAAGAAAATCCGTGCATGGCTTTTCTTGTTAGAAATGGAGTTTGACAGTTTGTTACGCTTGACAGGACCTAGGCTTAACTACAGTGGATCAAACCAAGCAACCAGTGCAGTGCAACAAAAACAGAAATAGGATGGGTACTAGTATCTGGAATTGCACCTCTAGGTCAGAATGAGTATCAGTGCCTGTGTTTAAAAAATGGGGAAGTGAAGAAGAAAACTGAAACCAGATTGTTGCAGAATGCCAAATAAGCCAGTGCTAAATTTTAGGTAATATAAATTGTGTTGAAGCCAGTTGGAAGCTTACATTTGCCAATTATTTGTAACAGAATATAACTTCAAGGTCTAGTCCACTTTCTCAAAACCTTAGAAATACAATGCAAGTTTCTAGAAGTGAAAGACCTTCCATTGCAAGCACCCAAGATGCCTGAAAAACTCAGATTTGATGAATTATGTGGTAGAGTTTCTATTTTGTTTAGTATGATAGACCAAATTCAGTAGTTTGCATCCTCAGTTAAAGGATGTTGGGACCAATTTAAAAACGACACTGGATTTGTTTGTTTAAAAAATGTGTAGCGGAGTCCCACATAACAAGTGGCATTTAAGTAAGGTTGCATGTTCCCACACATACAGCAATATATACCACTAGCTGGTGTGCCATCCAGGCAGTGGATTCCCAGCATAGCAATACTGCATGTGCAAGTGGTCTCTGGCCAGAATTAAGATGGCACTGACTTCATGGAAATTTTCATAGGAAAATTAATTTTGGCATAGCAGACACTTTCATATCTGGTCTTACTGAAAAGGATATCTGTCTAAGACTGTGGAGAATTAGATAGTATTGGATTAGGTTGGTTTGATATACAAGGAAATTAATTTCAGTTATAAACATGTGACAGAGCAAATACTTTGCATGTGTGAAGTCCCAGGTTCAGTCTCTGCACCTCTGCTGAAGAGGTCAGTTGAGAGCTGCTGCTTGTCAGGGTAGACAGTACTGGGTGGAACAGTTGTCAGTTTAGTATAAGCTGCTTATATCTCAAATCAGAGCTCCACAGTCAGGCCCCGTGCAAACTCTCTAGCTGCCTGGAGCAAAAGAACTTGCACTGTGGCCACAGAAGATCCCCACCCCCACTACTGCACTGCAACCCTCTTTCTGGTGTCACCAGCCTGGAGAGCCCAGCACCTTTCCTTTGCTGCTGTGGCCAGGTGGGCAGTGGCAGCAAGAAGGTTGCCCAGCAGAGACCAGGAAGGAATTCTAATGCTGTGGTTCTGGGCTCTTCTAAGGTCTCAGTATGTGGCTGAGACACCATGTGGTGTTGGCCATATGTTTTGATCTCACAAGTGCCCTGCAGCAATAGAAAGCTATTGGCTGCTCTCAACAGCTCCACTGGCACCCTCATTACAGTAAGTGCTACAGTAGGGAAATGGATGACAGAGCTCTGTATAGCACCTCCTGGAAGTGGCAGCAGATTTTCTGGGATTGGGCTGAGGCTGCCTGAGGAGCTCTTCAGGCACCCTCATAGGTAGGACAGCCAGCCCTGCCTATGGTTGTGAATAAATAAGCCACCATGAAATGTCAGTCTGAGAACAAGGAGTAGTTGTAAACTTTTAAAAATTCTTCATGTATTGAATATTCTCATTCTAGAGGGTTTGATATTGGAAATCACTTCTGTGAATGGATGTATGACTATGCATATGAAAAATACCCATTCTTCAAAGCCAATGCCCTGAAGTACCCCTCAAAGAAGCAACAGGTAAATAATAAATCAAAATTGCCTTTAGATTTAATGTCATGTAATCTTGAAATCATCTTCATTTGTAAATCTTACTGCATGTGACTGATCTTTCATTCCAAAGGTAAGGGAAAAGTGTGACCCTCCAGACATTGTTGGACTAAAATTCATAACCATGCTAAATTGGACCCAGGTGCATTCTGCCCACACAGTGGTCAGCCAGCTGCCCATGGGGAACAGGTGTGATAATACCTTCCTGTTTATGTTGTTCAGCAACTGTTGTACCTAAGCCTCAGCCTGTGCTACTGAGACCAGAGTCAGGCAGCCTGGGGGGGTTGTAGTCTGCCAACATCTGGAGAGTCACAAGTTTCCTACTTCTGCTTCAGTCCATAGCTTTAGCTTTCACTTTACAACTTTTCAAATTTGATTACTTAACATTAGGCATCTTATAAACATTGTATAGTCTATGGTCAGCATACTACTTTTTATGTGACCCCAATAGCACATTTCTCATTTTGCTCCAGAGTAGTCCTCAAGTATTTGGAGATACATTTTTAAGTTTCAGTTTATGGATGAAGTGCATCCAGAGTTTATAGGGTGGTCATCTTTATTTTATTGTAAGGATATTATTTGTTAACCTCAACACTCCTGTTTGATATGTGCATGTGTAAGAACAAATGTTTATGCATCAAAACACTAAATCTGATAGGGGTTTTATTTGCTAATAAATGGTATACAAAAGCTTAAATATTTTTGAGTATTTTCTCTGTTCAAAGTAAAGCTGGAGTACAAAACTGTTAGGATTAACATTAAGCTTTGATAAGTATTCTGATTGCAGGTAATCAAACTTGTTTGGAACTGTACTGATGCTTTGTATTAACATCAAAGAACTAATCTACTTTTCTAACTACTATCTGTGCTTGTCAGCTCCATTTCATTTCCAGTTATCTAGCTGCATCTCAAAGTGGATTTGAAAATCTGAGCACTGAAGATAAGTCCAAAATAGAAGAAGAAATGTTGATTGAAGTAAATAGGTAAATTCTGTCTTTGTTCAGAATGTATTGTATGTATTCCTCACGGTGAATATTGACTTTCAGTTAAGATGTGAGTTTTATGTGCATTCTAAAAACAGTTATGATGTTAAATGCTATCAAGTGGTCTCTGACTTATGGTGACCTTATGAATGAACACATTCCAAAATGAGGCATAATGACTGAGAAAGAAATGAGAGAGAAAGCATTCTGGGCGACTGTATCTATCTAGACTAAGGTAGGGACAAGCCCTAGAGCAGCGGTCCTCACACTTTTTCAATAGGGGGCCAGTTGAAAGGCTGCGGTGACCGTCGTGGGCCGGTGAGGTGGGGGTGCCTGGGGGCACGGGCCGGTGAGGTACTGCCGGGTGCACGTGGTGGTGGCTCACTCGCTTGGAGATCTCCCAGCGAGTCCAAAGCCATCTCCAAGCAAGTAAGCCACCGCCTCCCCGCCCGTGCAGCAAACGCGGGCAATGAACGGCGGTATGGACCGGATTGATGGCCATGGCAGGCCGGATCCATCCCGCAGGCCATAGTTTGAGGACCTGTGCCCTAGAGGAATCCATCTCTCTAATATTCACAGACTTCCTCTTGTGTTTGGCCTAGTCTTGCAAAGCAAGCCAAGCCAAGAAGTTGCAAAACAAAGGTTGCTCAACTGGCCACCTTCTTCATGAGGTGCAGCAGCACAAAGGCTGCTGCAGTTAGTGTGGAAGGAGGGCACTGCTTGCGTAACAGAGGCCCACACGGCCAACCTTCTGCATCAAGGGCAGCAGGCTGCTCCACATGGTACAGGAGGAGGACGGTGTGCCCAGTTTGTGAGGAACTCAGACTCAGAGCTGCTACAAAGTGGAGATGTGTCCAGGGAGCTGAGCCCAAGGACTCCAGTGGATTCCCACCCCCCAAATGAATCCCTCGCAGAACCTTAATCTAGACTATAGCACATTTCTTCTATGGGATCCATTTTAACCCTCTTACTGTTTTTCAGTGACTGTATAAAGCTTCCTTATATCGTAGACACATTTTATCTGGATCCTTGTTTTTACGATTTTTTGCTGCATTTGTTCCCATTCATGCCTTTGCTCTATTTTATTACAATGCCATATTTAGTTGATTTTGTTTTTAACATTTTAAATCAGTTTTATCCTTATTAACTACTCGCCACTCTATATACCACTGCATATTCCAATATGGAGATTCTAAAGTTTATAAAATTAAAAAGTAATTGTAAGTGGCCCTGAGTGATGCAAATGCATTGCAAAATCATTGGTTTTCTTAAAACTTGCTAGGAATAGAGGAAATGCATCCTGAGTTACCCTTCTCAAAGTTGCAGTTGGAATTCTCATGTACTGTGAACATCTCATAAAATGAAAGTTGAAACATGCCATTCTGAAGTTCAGACTGTGAACAGGCTGTTACATAATAAATCATCTCTCTCTGGTCATTGGTTTTTAAATTAGACCCTGAAACTATATTGTGTTTCTTCTTGACAGGTTTGCCCTCGCATCACATTTCTTCTGGGGTCTGTGGTCCATTATACAGGCAAAGATATCATCTATTGAGTTTGGATACATGGTAATGTCTTTTATAAAGGCTGTCTTCCAATTTTAGATGTATGCATACTCAGTGTAATTATTATGCTTGTGTAAGGTATAACATATTACTATAAGCATGTGGGAAATATTCCCTTCAGTCTGATTGTTGTAGCTTCCAGAGCCTGTCTTGTTTGTCATTGTGTTTAATTACCAGTCAGCCAGTACTGAATTTGTAGCAAGCATAGATGGTTCCAATGTTTCACCAAGCTGATCTTAACACCAGAAAGTTTCCAGAGCTTGAAAGCAGAGCAGCAAACTTCAGTAACCGCTATTCATATGACCTCTCCCATCTTACTGGGTTTTTTTTTTTTACTACTTTTCAAAAACAAGCCTCTATCATTAATTTCAAAGTTTTGAGGAGCAATGTAAATTAATTATCCCTTATATCCAGGTTGTGATTGCTACTCTGTAAGATTTCACAGGTGCAACACAGCTGCATTCAAGACAGGCTTTTGACTTCTTATTTGTGGTTGTTGGTTAAAAAATAGATGAAATAGATCATGAAACACACAGTTATGGCATAGAAGTTTTTTCTAACATTTCCTGTGTTGAGATGCAGCTTTGTATGCTGATGTAGAGGTAGCACACAAAATGTTGAAAATACCTTCAACTGTTGTTTTTTAATCACTTAGGAGTATGCACTCTCAAGATTTGATGCCTACTTTGACCAGAAGAGGAAACTCAAAGTCTGAAGTTTGAAGACTGGACAATCAGTTTCTGTACTGTATAAGGAAGGCAGCTGGGCAGAAATTCCACTGTGCTTAGGCTACTGTAGTTGTAATGAAGGTTTTGCAAATTCCAACTACTCGGATGCAATGCTGAAGACTGCACAAAATTACTAAGTTTACTTTTTTTAAAGTCTCTTAAGTCTTTGGAATGAGAATTGACAGTTAAGTATAACAGTGCAATATCAGGCATTTTAATCTAAAAGGTATTATGAGGGAACCAGTGTTAACTGTGGGTATCTTTTTTTTTTTTTAACAAAGGTATTTTATTGAATTCTTTCAATGCATCATACATGCTATCAGTTAATGGGGTAACCCAAGTTCTTTTTAGGGAAAAAGTTATACTGTGAATCTTATACTAAAGCCTATTGAAGTGGTGGTTGTTTTCATGGGGCATGTCAAGCTTCTTCTCCAGAAAACTACTGGTAACCTCTAACACTAATACACAGTGGCTAAAAATCAAAGGAGCTCATGCAGTCTGGTTTCTACTAAAATAGCTTTCACATTCTGATATTTTGGTAGAACAAGGTACAACAGATGCATCTTAACCTGAAACATGCCATTCCTTGTTACTTCATTCCACATCTTTGGCTGAGGTTGTGTTGACTACACAGCAACAGTCCTGCAGTATTGTGTTGTTCTTGTTCAGGACATTCCCTGGACTTGGCAGCACTGGGATGAGTGCCTTGAATTTCTCTAGGTGCCCTTCTCTGGCTTGAAGTAGGGCAGAGGAGCAAATGAGATGGGGAGCAAGTGAGAAATGTTTGACCAATTGTGGTGTGCAGGTGCCTTGTAAGGTGCACACTGCTCCTCGTTTAAAACCCTGTTGCTTTTTTCCAGCAGATGTGGATGTTTCTTGTGCAGAAAATGCATAGATCTATATATATATATGAACTCTCCAGCAAGTGTATTATCTTGAGAGCTTCTAGAAAACACCTCTTTAACCATCCTTATTTGATTTGTGCTTTTTGCTTAACATGTATTGTACAAATAAATTTTTAAGTCCTTACCCTTTTACTACATTTAATTGTCTTTGTGTGTCTCAAGTTTCTATGTTAAATTTTGTTAAATTATCTGAATGGACACTATGGTACACACGTACGTTGCATAAAATTTACCACATTCACGTAGTTTATCAGCTTCTTTAGAAAATAATTCCAGTTCTCAATGTCACTTTCATACAGGACAATACATTAAACAATACATTTGCAAACTGCAGTTTAGAAAATTTAGATGACTTACCTAGTACTCAAAAAGGTACTTTGTTACTCTCAAATGATGTTTTTCCATCATGAAATGAACTAGTAAGTGTAAATATTCATGCAATTTACTGACCTTACTAATATTTTCCCCCTACTTGTCATGATCCTGTTCATTTGGGTGTATAACTTATGCTTCACTGAGAGAGCAGAAACTTGTAAAATAGATTATGCAAGAAAAATAATGCCCTACAATATTTGGATTGTGTGTGTTGCATTTCTTTTCCTCACTGAATTTCACATTTCAACTGTTCACGTAGTAGCTGCATTCACACAGCACACTAAATCATCCTTGAGAATACGCTATACAGAGTGTGGGTTATTGGCAGAACAATCCACAGTGCGCATAACAGATAACGAGGCTCACTGTGGTTTGTTTTCCTCCTCTCTCCCTCATCCCTCCTGCTGGTATTCCAGTATCCTTCACAGCAGAACCCTCCTGAGTGCTGCTCCCTGCTCTGATCACTACCCCTTTTCATCTGCCATCTTTAAAAGGGGGGGGGGGGACAATTGCAGCTGAATTTTTAAAACATTTTTAAAAATGAAAATTGTGCAACTGTGTGTGGTGTTGAGAGGTGTCTTTCGCAAAAACACCCTTACAGCTGTCTGATAAGTGTAGTATTCTCTGGACAATTTCCTTTATGTTTTAGCTTTCAGAGGAGGCAGCAAAGTGGAATAACAACTGACAGCTGGGCAATTGAACCCTGGCAACTGTGTTCGAATTAACCTACATGCAGCCTTGTCAATTTCCATCTAAGTTTGCTGCTGCCTTTGATATTTGAAACATACAAGGAAAATAAACTGGCAAGTGTATACAGCCTGACAGCTATGAGAGTATCCTTACAAAAGACAGTCTGATAAATATTTATAGAACACAATTGTGCCATTTTTGGAGACCAAACTATTTTTAAATGGTGAATCAGTAATTGTTCCATCAATGGAGGGTCTGTCTTGGCAGCAACAAAAGTGAAATTGGAAAGAGCTGTTTTGGAGGCAGGAGAGTTGCTGCCCTTCCCAAGGAACACACTTAGCCAGTCTCCATGATAGAATTGGTTGCCTTGATTTAGAAGACCAAACAACCAGTTGTGGGTCAAAGAACCCCCTAGATCAGTGATGGCGAACCTTTTAGAGACGAAGTGCCCAAACTGCAACCCGGAATCCACTTTATCACAAAGTGCCAACACTGCAATAAAACCTGAATACTGAGGTTTTAGTTTAGAAAAAGACAACTCATACATTAACATGTTTGTTTTAAAAGAAAAACAACAGAAGGAGCCATGTTCACATTCAGCGCCCCCAAGTCGGGGGATGCCGGGCTGGCTTGCGCCCGGGCACACGCACTCCCTCCATCCTTTCTCCCAAACCAGCCACCAGGAATGCCGCAGGAGCTTCGGCGGTGCTTGAAAGTTTACCAGAGGAGCGGAATTGGGGGGGGGGGGGGGGGGGGGGGGGGGGCAGGTGAGAGAGATCTAAACTAAAGGTGAGGAGAGGCTATCACTGATCCCTTCCCTTGGGATCTTCCTCGAGGTGCCCCCACAGCACTGCCAAGCCTTGGTGAGTGGGGTCCCCACCATGCACCCACTCCTCTCGCTTTGCAGCAATTCCAGCCTCCACTTTTCCTCATTTTGGCCTCCCTCCCCAGGAAGCACCAAATTGATTGCGGGCACCCTCTCCTTGCTCCAGCTGCTGCTGCTGTTCCACTGCCTCAACCCCATCACTTGCTCCTTTCACCCAGCTCCCCCCCCCCGCACCCCAGCCACCGGTGCAGGAGCCCGGCCTGGGAGCAGGCAGGCAGGTGCACAGCTGCCTGGCTGTGCCTGCAGCCACCACATCAGCAGGGTCCCGCCACTGCACTAGGAGGGCAGCTTGGGCAGCCGCTCACATGCTGCAGGCTGGGAGGAGGAGGAGGAGGAGGAGCCAAGAGGAGGGCGCCAGCGCTCAGCACCCACTCACTGCTCACCCACTCCCTTCCTGGTGCACCCGCTGTAGTTGTGCCTACCTCTGGCCACCTGTTAGACTCCGCCTCTTGTGGCGAGTCATGGCTAATGAGTGATGTCATCACCTGGTGCCATTATTCTTTCCAAATATGTGCATGGCCACGCATGCCATAGGTTCACCATCACTGCCCTAGATGAAGCCATAGATCTTCAGGGCAGTTTGTTGCTGAAAATTAGGCCACTATAAGAATTGGTCTGGGTTTAAGATTACATGACATCCCACAGAACCTAGCTACCCACCATGATGATTGTCCTGATTTTCTGCCCAGAATGGTATTTCATATTACAGTGAGGGGACAGTGAATGTGTTTGCAATTTCATTTATCAATTCTATAGAAGTTCTTTATAGGTGGATTTAATTCTCTCTTATCTAGTAATTGGTTATTTGCTGTTGTTTTCTCTGCAGCAAAAGATCCATTTATAAAGGGAATTGATAAAAGCTGCTCCTGTACTTTCATGAATTGGTTTACACATGACAGCAAGCCAACAAGAATGAATTTCCATGTGGTGCTTGTTATTTCATGTTTTGAAAATTTAAGCCAAGGCAGGGCTTACTGCTGGTTGTCATTAACATGAATCTAGTTGGGATGATTAAGAAACTACCCAGAGTCCATGGGTTTTAAGGTTATGCCTTACTATAACAATATAACCTTAATCAGTCTGAAGAATCTGATATGATTTCTGTGATTCCTTACTTGCATTCTGAGTTGCTAATCCTGCACTGAGGTAATTCACTATGGTGAGGTAAGCCAGCTCATAGACTTCAATCTCTAAGGCCATATTTTGCACATTTTAAACAAATGCTAAAGAAATCCGTGCAAATGGTACTACTTTTTGGCTTCCAATTTGCACAAATTGTAGAATTTGAACAAATTTCCTTAGAGGATTTTAAAATGTACAAACTGTGGCCTGCCTTAGATATGGAAGTCCGTGAAAAAGAATCCAATTTGGTTTGCTTTAAATCACAGATAAGTTGGCAGGGAATCTGTCATGCTAAAATGAGCTGGATTTCCAAGCATTCACAGACCTCTGTAGATTGTTAACCGCTCCAACTAACCCCACTTGCTTGTTTGCATGTAACCAGCTGTGGCACATCCCTGCTGTGGCTTAAAGTTTCCAATTAGTAGCTGACATTGCAACCAGAAGTCTCATGGGTAGCTTCTCATATTTACTTTCTACCCTTACCTTTCTCAGGAGCAAGAATATGGGATTGCTTGTATTCTCTTCATAAGCATGAGGAAGTTCTTTATAATGCAGCACAAGAGAGCCAGCTACCTTTGGAGTGCTGGATGCAAAAAAGAATCTTCACTCATTCCAAGACAAACACAAACAAAGCCAGAAAAAAAAATTGCATAGGAGATAGATGAAAACAGCTGAAGGACTTTTGAGTTGAAATGAAATCCAGAAATGCACGTGCTGCCATATGCTATAGTAAGTAGACAAGCTGGGATTCCTATGTATGAAAGCTGTTGCTTAGCCAGCTGGTTCTTCCTATAAAAATAACTTTGTGTTGCAACGTAAGTTTTATTCCTTAGAGGTATATAACCAGCTCTGTCATGATGGGCTTAAAGTAGGTTTTAGTATATTTTTTAGATAAACATTTTTGTATGCAATGGGCCCTTGTAATTTAAGGAGCTCTCCTCAAGCAGCTCAGGAACAAAAGTGGCTGAAGAAAATAACATATTCAGAGAAATTGCAAACATGATTTAAACTTACAATACAACTTACATGTTTGCCAAAATATTTCCCAGTTTTTTGTTACATAGATCTGTACAGGCCATTGTTGGTCAGTTTTCAAAAATTCAGTGCTCAGAAATGAAGTAAAGATTTAAAAAAATGAAAATTAAACAACTGTCCAGGGACTGGACAACTGATGATACATTTACCTCTTATGGCTGGTAAATTGCAGTAATTTGCTATCTCTTTTCATCATTCTGCTGTATGTTCTTGTGTGTGCTTTTAAAAACAATCAGATACCCTCATGCTGTATTGGGCCTGTGCTGTAAAATCCAGGCCTCAGTCTCTAGCTCCTATAGTACAGGCCTTGCTTAGCATGAGTAAAGTGGTGTGCTATAGTTAGCTGGTTTAGCTTAATTAAAGGGTGGAATTCTAGGTATTGTTTTCTAAAGGCCCTGAGAGACGGACAAAGGATGGATGCGCAGCTGTCCTCTGTTTTGAGAGAATGCACCTTATCAGACATACAAATGAGCTTATGCTTTGTTGTATGCCTAGTTTAATTAGTTATGTCTCCATGTTGGATGGTTTCAAGAGATCAAGGGGTGATAAAAGAAAGTGATGGCTAGCATTACTGCAATTATTAGTGATTGCTTTGTTTGTATGTGCTTATAGTGCTGGTGTGCTTTTTATATGCAGTGTATTAATTGAATCTGTCAACAGCCACAGCACATGCATCTGTTTTGCGGTCAAGCAGCATGAAGTGTTTCCTAACCATTTGGGAGCGGAATATTGGCCATGGTCATTTTGTGAAGAAAGCCTCCCAACTTGTCTGACCCATTTGCAAAACCTGGCTAGGCAAAGAAGATAGTCAAGTGCACTTCATAGCATCACCAATTAATGAGCAGGTGTTTGCTGTCAGTGAGCATAATAAGGCCTGCATTCCAAGGCCTAACAAGCTTATATGTCTGTGAGAATCTGCCAGCCCTCCCTGTACCCATCTTATCAGTAAGTTGCTAAGCTACAGCCGGACTTGCTAGAGTGAGAAACTTTTCAGGTTGTTTTGATTGCAAAGTTTT